CTGCGCTCGATGGGACTCTACGGCAAGGAGAATCGTGCGGACCCTGCCAATGTCAAGAGCAGAACTGGGCTGGTCATACTGCTGAATGGTTGTCCTATCGTTTGGGCCAGCAAGCTGCAGCAGACCATTGCCGTGAGCATGATGATGGCCGAGTACTATGCCCTGTCGACCTGTATGATGGAAGTTCTGCCTTTGAGGCGTACTGTCCAGACTGTAGCCGCAGGACAAGGCATCAAGGAAGAGTGCCTGACCTCATTCAAGACCACTGTCTGGGAAGACAACATGGGAGCCCTGACTCTGGCAAACCTGGAGCCTGGACAAAGCACTCCAAGGTCCAAGTTCTATGATGTCAAGGTCCACTGGTTCAGAGCACATCTGAAGCCAGGGGAACTCGAGGTGGTCAAGGTGCACACCGCAGATCAACTTGCGGACATGTTCACCAAGCCCTTGTGTGTGGAATCTTTCAAAAGGCTGAGATTCCGCCTCATGGGCTGGTAGCTCGTGCTACCATGGTTGGGGACGAGTTTGTGCTGATGAGCTCTTTGATTTCGTGCAGTTGTTGCCTTTGGCGTCAACGTCAAGGATTTCAGCACGAGATCACCCCAAAGAAGCCTTGGATTTCGTGCCAGAGGTGCGTCCATGCGATCTTGATGTCACAATGGTCATTTCACCGCGCGGTGCGTGCAGCGCGCTATCGCGCGCAATGACCTCAGTGCGAGTTCGCATTTGGACTGACACCGGGTTCGGAATGCTGAGGAGTGTTCTCAACGTCACCGACACGTTTGAGATTGATGTGAATTGATACACGCTATATGTTTTGATCTAGCGCTACAGCATGAAACGATCACAGCGAGATGTTTCTCACCGTGGACGTTTCGCTCTGAGGGAGCATGCTGTGGAGCACTACATTCACACTACTCGTGGTGGAACTCACAAGTTCTAGTACTACGACTAGTACATTGCATATCATGTCGAAGTCAACCCCTTATTACACCAAAGCGGAGTGCGATCAGATGATCGAGGCCGGTATCAACAATGCCATTGAGGAGTTCGTGGAGAACGGTGGTTTGATGAACGCCGTTGGACACCTCTTCAAGACCAAGATGGACAACGACGAGTTCAAGGAGGCTGTTAACACTGCAGTCAATGCAGTGACTCCCGCCAAGCGCAAGAAGTCAGACTCTGAGGACTCTGAGGACGAGAAGCCAGCTCCTGTGGAGTGCTACTCGCATTATCCTGACGCCTTGCTTGAGCTGCTCAAGCAGGGTGACGGTATGATCAACATTGGAGCGCGTTCTACTGCTCCAACCAAGGTCGCGTTCGAACAGTTCGAGAAGCTGCGCCCCGCTATCATCGCTGACAGAAAGGTCAAGATGGCGAACAAGGTCAACCTCTATTCCAAGCCGAGTGAGATCTGGGCTCACGTCGACCACGCTACCCTTCTGAAGCACTTTACGCGGGGTGTAATCGAGTTCGCCCACTTCCGGCACACACCCGCGGTGGATGTGATTGCCGTACACCTCTACATCCAGGAGTTCTACCCTGGAGTCAGTGCTGACGACGTCGAAGAGCTCAAAGAGCATATCAGCGCTCGTCATCGCATTGGACCCAACCATGAGCTCGCGAAGTGACTACGACAAACAAACAAAAGGGGAACCGGCCCCATTCTATGTTACATTTAGTATTGTTACAACGAAACGACGAGATGCAGTTCGAGTACGAATTTGCTACTATTTCGAGATGTTTCTCGGTTGATGAGGGAATGTGAGATGTTGTACACATCTACCTACTAGTGATTTCACGAAAGGGTACTGTGTTACTATACCTATTCTCTCTGTGCAGGATTCATGTTCCTTTTGGATTCACGGAACATGATAGAATCCTGCATAGGCACGCAATTGCACCCCTTAGCATAATTCGCTATATAAAGTACTGTACACATCTACCTGCTAGTGAATTCACGAATTTGTACTGTTTTACTATACGTAATCGCTTTGTGCAGGAATCGTGTTGTGTTTGGCGATAATACGGTACACGAAAGAACACTTAATGCATGTTTCAACTGTCACTTTTACAGGAAACGATTTTACAAGATATAAGGTCTCTAGTTCGATTCCTGCATAGCAACCTTTTTGCGCCCGTAGTATCTTTTACTATACGTTTAGCTGTACGAATCTACCTATATGTGCAGTCACGAATTCTCATAAGGTGTCATTCTAGATATACAGTCTTGAATGCGAATTCTGCATAGGTACGTTTACTATACAGAGTACTGTACATATCTACCAGATCACGATTCAGCCAATGAGCCAATGCTGCATAGACCTGTGAAAAGGAATTTGGTACCGTTTATGCAAACCATCATACAAATCTATAGTAAAATAGTACCATTGTGCTTTGTCTACACGACATGCTACTCTAATAGTATCTCGCTACTGGTTAGTCTAGCTAGCTAGCTAGGTACGTCTTTTATGCAGATTTCCTCCTCTATCTTTATCTCTAACCCTTGGTTATCAATAAAATAATTTTATTAACAAAATCCATAATCGTCAGTGGTTCCATGACAGGGGGTTACGATGACTATGAAGAGTCCTATGGATATGGTGGCGATTACTGACCATCAACAAAGGTCTTTGAGAATTATGCAGCGGCGGCTGAAGGAATCAATGTGGACACAGACTAGGTGCCGATGGTGCTTTGCGTCCTACATAGTATACAAAATAAACCGTCTGATAGACCGTTATTAGTCCTGATGGACTCTGGTTCTAGTGGAACCTGGATTAGTGACAAGGCGTTGCCTAAGGGAACAGTCCCTCGTATTGGCGACGTTGTGTCTACCACAACATTGGCTGGCAAGGTCAAATCGAACCGTGTTGTTACCTTAGATCGGTTGTGTTTTCCAGAGTTCTACAAGTCCCGTTTCATCGATGTTGCTCATGCTCGTGTCTTTTCTGCGAGCAATGTTCGGTATGATATGATCATTGGACGCGACATCCTCCTTGAAATGGGATTGAAGATTGATTTCAAGGGACACAAGATGACATGGGACGAGGTTAGCATCGACATGAGACCTTTTCTTTCCCACGTCTTCGGTTGACAAGAAGACTCCTCCTGCTACATCGATGTTCCTTGACCTTCTTGAAGCAGATCTCGAAGATGACGATACCCTGCCTACAGTGGCTTCCACAGATTGCTTTGAAGACGACTTGGATGACGATTTGGACGACATGCTCCCCGAATCCGAAAAAGAGTCTTCATGTTTTGCAACTCGTGAAGAAGAAGAGAAGGCAGCAGACTTGGGTTACAAAACCAAGCACATTCTCGAATCTAAATATGAAGGGGCCGATATTACCAGTGTGGTTCGGTCCTGCACTCATCTTTCTCAAGAACAACAGAATGAACTTCGTGGTGTCCTTGAGAAGTATGATACCTTGTTCAGTCCTGAACTTGGCAAATACACCCGCGGACAAATTAGTTTGGAGATTGATCCTACAGTTCCGGCCCATCGAAGCCGACACTATACTGTTCCTCATCACCAAAAAACCATTTTCAAGAAAGAGTTGGATAGGTTGGTTTCCCTTGGCGTTCTTGAAGAAGGAAGTCGTTCCGAATGGATTGCTGGTACCTTCATCATTCCGAAGAAGGACGGTCGAGTCAGGTGGATCTCTGACTTCCGTGGTCTCAATAAAGCAATCAAACGCAAGGTTTATCCAATTCCTCGCATTGCTGATATCTTAGCTCACCGCAAGAATTATGCATTCCTTACCAAGTTGGATATCTCGATGCAGTATTACACCTTCGAACTTGACGATTTCAGTTCTGAATTGTGTACCATTGCTACCCCTTTTGGGCTTTACAAGTACAGACGACTACCTATGGGCGTTTCTCAATCTCCGGATATTGCTCAAGAAATCATGGAGAAGTTACTCAAAGCTCTTGATGACATCGAAGTCTACATCGATGACATTGGTATTTTCAGTTCCGATTGGCGCTCTCATCTCGACAAGCTCGACCAAGTACTCAAGATCCTACAGGAGGCCGGATTCACAATTAATCCGTTGAAGTGTGAATGGGCAGTGCAAGAAACAGATTTTCTTGGACATTGGTTGACTCCCATTGGCGTTAAGCCTATGGCGAAGAAAGTGCGCGCCATTCTGGACATGAAAGCACCTACGGATATCAAACAACTGCATTCGTTTCTCGGTTTGGTGACTTATTACCGTGATATGTGGCCTCGTCGTTCTCACACCTTGGAACCCTTGACAAAGCTAATCGGTACCAAGCAATTTGAGTGGACCGACGAGCAAGAACACGCTTTCAAAGCCATGAAGGCTGTGGCGGCAGCTGACACCCTGCTTGCCTATCCCAATCACAACGTTCCATTCGAAATCGATAAGGACGCTAGCGATTATCAGCTCGGTGGAGCTATCAAACAGAACGGACGGATTGTGGCTTACTACTCCCACAAGCTTAATTCCGCCCAAAGGAACTATACTACCATTGAGAAGGAATTGCTCTCCATCGTTGAAATCTTCAAAGAGTTTCGGTCTATGTTACTCGGAGCTCGTATCAATGTGTTTACTGATCATAAGAACCTTACTCACAAACTTTCCGCTTTTCAAACTCAATGTGTTATGCAATGGCGATTGTTGTTGGAAGAGTTTGGTCCAATCTTTCATTACAAGCCGGGCCCCCAGAACGTCCTTGGCGACGCCCTCAGCCGGGTGCCCACTTCTCGCGAAGATCGCGACAATACCGATTCCGATCCCCTCTCCACATCTACCGACGGATGTTATTCCATTGTGGAGGAGAATCAGAGGTTGGCAGAATGTTTGATGCATCATCCAGATGACAGTATGGAAGAATCTTTCCTGGAGCATCCTACATTTGACGGTGAAGGACGGAATCCCTTCAATTTCTCGGTTCTCGCGGAGTACCAAGCAGCTAGTGCAGTCTTGCAACAGACCGTGGTTGATAACCCGGAATGATTTTTCAAGAAGATGTTTGGAAACAGTGAGCTGATATGCTTTCGTCAGAATGACGAGGACAAGATTGTCCTGACAAAAGAGTTGCTTCCCAAGTTGGTCAGCTTCTATCACAAGTCCATGGCACATGTCGAAGGCATGGATCGTTTAGAACAAACGATCAAGACACATTTCTATCATAGAGGTATTCGCGACGAAGTCCGAAAACAAATTGAGCAGTGCGAAGCATGTGCAAAGAACAAACGAGCACGACGTGCTTATGGAGAATCTGCTCCACGTGATGCTACGGCGGTGCCCTGGCAAGAAGTCCATTGTGACACAATCGGTCCATGGACGATTGCCTTCCGTGACGCTAGCGAAACCCCTCCCAATGCTGACTTGATGGCCATGATTAAGGAACAGATCGAAGCCTTCAACGCCAAGAACAATAAGGAGCCCGAGGAGGAGCGTTGGGTGCAGGGCCCATTGATTCCCATGCCAGTTCTTGCTGAGGGCCACACTGGAAACGAAAAACTCTGCCAAACAATGAATTTGCTCTGTAGTTTCACTCTACAGAAGGGGCAGAGTGAACTCCCAGAGTTTTGGCTAAGTAATGAGTTCGAACAGGCCGCAGAATGTATGTGACCCGAGTTGGCATGACAGGGATGGCAGGCGCATGATTCGATCCTTGCACAGACCAGGTATACTACTATCTATATATGTATACCTATATATATTTATAACCACAGGTTAACCGTCCTAGAAGAGGAGTTGTCACATTCACAAAGTACACGAAAAGAAAACAATTACGCCCTCATGCAAACCAAAAAACAGTCAAGGCTGCACTGACAAAAGACATATGGGTATGCACGAAAGAAGGCAACAAAGAAGAACACATGTTATCTTATACGTTAATTTTTCAGGTCTAGAATAGTACCTAAAACCTTCCACCTCGAATCCTCCTGGCTAGCCGGATATCTTTTGGCATGATGGTGATTCTCTTGGCATGGATAGCACAAAGGTTGGAACATTGGAACATGTCCACAAGATGGGCTTCTGATGCTTGCTGGAGAGCTTCCATTGCAGACCCTTGGAACCTGATGTCTTTTCTAATATCAGAAGCTATGTCTCGAACAAGACGCTGAAAGGGCAGTCTCCTGATTAGGAGATCGGTTGACTTCTGGTACCTTCGAATTTCTCTGAGAGCCACAGTTCCTGGGCGATAGCGCTGTCGCTTTTTGACACACACCTTCAATGGAGGAGGGACCTTCCTGGCGGCCCGCCTTGCTAGCGCCTTCCAGAATCTGGGATGTTGTCCGTCGACTACTTTGCTTGCAGTTGGTTTAGTCCTTACCATACTGGAGGAAATCAATTTTATGTCTCATTATTTTTGGACTGTGGATGTAGTCGTTAAACTGCATGCATAGTAGCATGCCGTCTTTGCTCTCTACATACTTCCTGCTGGTATGATATCAATATAGTCGTTGCAGTACTGGGGCTGGGGGCTGGTTGGGGTCATTCTGTTTCTATATACTGTAGGTTTGGGTTCGTTGGCATGAAATTCAAGCAATCTCGTTGGCATGAACTATTTTTTGAAAAAGTGGATGGGGGAAGGGGGGAGAGATTTTGAAAATGTGTCAGTCTCACAAAAATCCTGTCCAGACAAACGAAAACGAAAAACAAGGATTAATATGCCACTCCCTGGTTCTTGGTTGGATAGTGAGTGTGCAGATGCAGAAGCGTATGCCAATGCTACCAGGATCTTGTATAGTGGGTGCCCTCTGTGTCTAGAAGAAGATACCTGCAACCTTTGCTTTGAGTTCAAGCTCAACAAGTCGAGGGCTCCAGGTGATAGGTGGGCCACCAGAAACCTAAAAGACCACGCTCCAATTTCACCTCCGGAAACACTGTCAGCGAGTCGAATCCTCTTTATGGAGAAGATGGGCCATGTTTTTGATAGTGGATCAGGTGCTAATAGTTTGAAGAAGAGAAGCAAGAAGACCAATGACAAGAAAGGAACCTGTCAAGGGAAGAAGACTGGTGAGAAGAGGACTGCAGCAGGTGGTCAAAGGTCAAGGACTGCCAAGCACAGACAAGGGAAGAGGAAGGAGTCTAGCAGCGGAGCAGCGGAGAGCAAACAATCAAGGCTGAACTTCACAGTAGAAGGATACCCAAGAGAGTCATCTGAGTACGAGCCCAGTGAGGGCAAGATAGTGTACAGGCCGCCGGGCTATGGACAGAGCAAGGAGGACGAGGAAGATGGCATCATAGCTCGCCACTGTGACATCTGTCACCTCAAACCATGCCTTGCCACTGCTTGGGACAGAAGATTCGTGATAGCTGCCACAAGCACTTGATAGCTGACAAGAGAACTATCAATTTCACAAAGAAGGCTGTGGAAAAGATGCTACAGAAGGAACACTGCAGGCTTTTCATGAAAAGGTATCGCATCAAGGATCCCATCCCAGTTTGCATTGTTTCAACCTCGGAACTGAAAGTAGATGTGTATGGGAAGAGGATGCTTGACGATGAAGCTAACATGGAATCAAGTGATGATGATGAAACGGTTGACGGGAACCTGGAGGAGTTGAAAGTCGACTTGTATGGTAATATGAAACTGTCGTGCAGGGATGACAGCACCAATGACAGCAGCGACGATGAGTCAGAATCAGATGAGAGAGGAGGGAGAATGCAGAGAGAGGACAAAGTGTATGAAATTGTCTTGGACTCCTCTGATGAGGAGGGTGATGAAGAGCTGTACCGTCCTGTATTCCCAAAACAATCTGAGACGGTAAAGGTGGTCAGAAAACAAACTGATGCTCCTCCTGCCACAAAAGCAAACAGGGTCTCTATCGGAAGTGTCAATAACAAACTGGAGGCTAAGGAAGGCAACAAAGTAGAAAGTCTGTCGTCCTGCTCATCCGATGAAGATGAAATGGAGTTCACCATGAAGCTTAATTACGTGAAGGGAGACCTAACAATGAGTAGAAGAGTTCATAGTAGTATAAGTAGACAAAAACCATGTTAGTTCTCTTTTCTTTTTTCTTTTGGTTTGGAGCTAGAGCTGCACGAGGTCCACTTAGTATCTCCCTCCCTCTCTCTCTCTCTCTCTCTCTCTCTCTCTCTCTCTTTAGCCCTCTCTATCTCTCTTTCGAACTCTCTCGTCTTAGCTCTCTCTTTTGTCATTTTAGGTTTTGGAGTCTCATCAGGGGAGGCACTTACAGATATTCTGGAAGTCTGGTGTGTAAAACTGTCGCAGTGGCATCTCCATCGTTATGGTACCCAGTTCCACAGTCTTTGCTTCAAACTTTTTCTCTCTGGGCTCCTTCTCATCACCAAGACCATTTTTGCTTGCGTTAGTCTCCTCTGCATCATCCCTTTTCTTGGCGGGCTTCTTCTTATCATCAAGACCATCGTGGCTCCCGTCAGTGTCATCGAGAATGGAATCCTCGGACTCCTCCTTTCCCACCTCCTCTACCTTATCCTCATTGTCTCCTTCTTCCCCGTTATCATCCCCTTCTCCCTTTTGTTGCAGTTGGGTGTAATCATGGGGGTGGATGAGCCGGAGGTATCGTTCAATGTTCGGGGGGAGGTCCTTATCCTGTGAATTGGAGAAGGAATCATAGTGGAAGTGGGGGTAGATACGTGCCATACTGCTTTGCAAAAGACCAGACTCCCCGAGCATCTCACTGGGATCAAAAGATTCAGCGCTTTTTGGTACCAGTATGATCATCACTCGGAGGTGTCGGTTCCCCCCAACATGGGTGATGTATCCCGCCTCACGTGAGAGTGACATGGGACCGACAACTGCATTGCCGTATTTGGTGTAAGTTAGCTGACCATCCAAGTGTCGAGCTTTTTTGTGGTGCCTCCCAAATATCCCATTTTGGTCCAGAGGGATCTCTATGAACACTAACTTGCCTTTGAGTACCTGAATATCCGCTAGGAAGTTTGGAGTAAGCTCAATGTGACTCGCATTCACCTCCTTCAAGTCTGTGTCAAAGGTACTGTGGCAGTAATCTGCGTGATCGAAAGCATGGTAGTCCTCGATAAGCGCCTCCTTCCCGACTGCCTTGTGGAGGGCTGTCTGGAGGCGATGAGATCCAGTCAGGGTAGATGCACAAAGAGCTGGCTGGAGTGGAGAGCTCTGCTTGGAGCCTCACTCCTCTGACAGTGGGAATGGGCCAGCCACAAAGCTGGCTGCCGCTGCTATTCAATCTCCACAGCAATGATTGAACAACTCACTCTTTGCCTTGGCACAATCCACACAGGAAGGCTTCAACTGTGGGGAAACTAGTGCTACTGAGGCTGTATCTGGTCAACTATCCTTTCATTACTTCTTCTTCTTTAAACTATGCTAAAATCAACTGAACACAAAATCCTCGACAGCACTCAGCCATGCAGCTTTGGCTCTCTTGCATCTCATTTGGCTGGTGCTGGCAAGCTAACTTTCTATATTGGTCTTGGCTGAAGAACTGCATCATCCTTGGGTATATAGAGTTCCTCAGCTATTTCTGTATTGCCAGATGGCTGCACTGCTGACCCTACTGTTGGAGTATACAGATGTCACAGCGATTCTTCCACCTGGCTAAACCAGCACAGCTGCTTCGCACCACAATGGGGGTTCACGTGGATTTCCACTCATCGGTGTCAGTCTCTGGATGATCTCCTTTGATGAGTGGAGATGAGGCTTGTTTGGGCATGTGTCCGAAGATCCGTTGGTAGTTGCTGAGTACCTTCTCAATGTATTTGCGAGGTGCGTAACTCAGTACTCCATTCTCATCGCGGAAGAAATCACATCCTAGGTGGAAGCTGATGGCACCGGTTCCCTTTAGCTTGAACTTGTGCTCCCCTTCCAATGTCGCGATGATCTCGGATGCGTCTTTGCTGACAATAAGGAGGTTGTCTACGTACACAGCGATGTATTCGTAGTAGCTCCCTTTGTCTCGCATCCAGATGTGTGATTCGGCTTTCGAAGGAAAGAATCCCATTGAACGGAGAACATCTGCAAATCGTTCATGCCATCGTAATCCAGAAGACTTGAGTCTGTATAGGGCACGGCTGATGATGAGGGTGCATACTTCTCGATCTCCAAACTCGGGTCCTGCAACAACGTACACCTTCTCTTTTGTAAACGATTCCAAGTAGGCGTTTCCGATGTCTGTTGCCCATACTTTGCAATCATTGAGTTCTGCGAGGAATGTGAGGATACGAATCCCACGTAACGGAACCACACTGTAATAGACGAAGTCTACTGGTGTATCAGTGAGATGTCCTCCAGCGACAAGCCGTGCTTTGTGCCGTCCATTGTGCTTGACTGCGTACACCATGTGCACTCGGATCTTCTTCCAATCTGGTCCAAGGTTATGTCCCTTTCCTTTGTTGATGAAGGTCTCGTACACATCAATCTGTTTGAGTTCGGTCATCTCGGCATCTCTCCACTTGGTATCTCCATTGCGCGCATCTAGTTCCATGGCCTGGTCATGGTTGCGAGGAACTTGGAATCCGTACATGAACATGGGCTTGGTCCTGAAGGAGTGAAGCTTTGCTTGGTTAGCCGCTTGTACGAGTCGCTTTTGAGTCTTTGCGATCTTCTTGAGTCCCGGTAATTTCCATCCAACTGTGTCTAGTAGACCGTGTTCTTCGGTGTAGATGGCGACCGTGACTGAATCAGATTCATGTACTCCCATCTTGTCTTTGGTGGTGAGAGGCTCCCAAGTTATCTCCCCAGTTTCCCATTCAACTTGGACGTTGTACTGCGAACCTTTGTATCATTCTTTGTCAGATGATCTTATGGGACCTTGATGATCCAAGATCTTGCGGAACTTCCATGTGCCATCCCAAGTTTGGTCTTGTTCAATGTAGTCCACGATATCGTTGTAGGCTACGATCTCCTCGTACTCGTCGTTGACTCTGCATTTGAACTTGATCATGTCGGGATGTTGTTGAACCTTCTCCTTGTGGTATTTGACTCTTTCAAGGATCTTGGCTCTTACTCGGGTTCCATCTTCTGCGGGCGGTATGAGACTTGTTCTTTCGATCATCTGTTCAGGAGGTAGTCCTGATTCGGTGGGATTGTCAGTCTTCATATGTCGTTTGTTGAAGATGAATGGTTCCTCCGCGCTAGATGATCCTTTCTCGGGCTCGTCCTTCTGATGGCTTGCAATGTTGTCGTCATCGTCCTTGACTGTTTCTACTTGGGGCATTTCCCTGAGAGGTGGGTCGTCCATTGGAGTAGGCTCTTCTGGAGTGGTCTCCCCTATCTCCCCTTCTTCGTCATCGTCTGGAAGGTCAAAAGGGCTCTGGTTCATGTCGATAGTGGGCAGTCTAGCATCGTCGCCTTCTTCGTCTCAAACCCAACGAAACGTCCACGAATCTCTGAAGACTTGTTGTGTCCAGGTTGGGCATTGTACCCTTGGTCCCTGTATCGCGGAACATAAACAACATCCCAGAATAGGAATACGAGTAGAATGCTGATGTCCACGGTTTGTCCAGTGAGAACTTCAAGTGGTGGTCTCCATCCAGTTGATTTCTCTGCTGTATGATTCATAACATAACCTATCCATTGCATGCACAGTAGCCAGGCTTCGGGATCAACGTTTCGCCAGTTCATGAACCAGTTGTGGTTGCGTTTAAGATGCTTCCATCTGTGTTCCGCGAAGTTTTGATGCTGGTAGTGGGGTTCAGATTGCCAATCGTCAATGCATAGTGCACGAAGTATCTCTTTTACTCGCGCAGAAGTTTGTGCTGAGTGTCCATCCGAGATGAGCTTGTCCATTGCTCCCCTTGTTCGTATGACATCCTCAAGGGTGTTGACAAAGTCCGCAGTGGAAGACATACCGAACACATCGATGACAAGCGATTTACGCCCAATGAAGATTTGTGCTATCATTTGACCTCCGGTGCAAATGGCGGGTGTATCTGCAAAGATAGTATCTGTAGCAACCGGTTCGTTGCGTCGCCATACATTATGGGCCGGGAAAGGTGACTTAATGGTTTGCTTGATGTGATGTCCAGCTTGGATATTGGACGCGTGTTGGGTAGTCCGTTCAAATGTACGGCGAATCTTCTCAACGGGAACGTGGAGAAAGAATGGGCTGTACTTTTGGTAGTTTGGTGGTCTAGGAGTGGACTCGGTGGCGGGGATGATGATGTGGTCTTTAGATGGGACGGTATCAGTATCAAAGGCAGAATATACTGATTCTGCAAGGATGCACGGTTGGTTAAGGTTGGAGACAATCTTGTAGGCTTCTAGAAAGGTAGCATGGTTGATGTTCAGTGGATTCTCGTTTAGCGGGGTGATTGCTTCAACAGTGGGTGCGTGATGCGGTTCACGGTGTCTGTAATGCCCTTGTGAATCGAAAGCATAGTTGGGCGGTGCGTCATCATCGAGTTTGATACGGTTGTACCAGTCCTCGGGATCACTGTGTCTGAAGTCAAGAACCTTGGGATCCCATAACTCGCCAGATGTCAGAATGACATGGGTGAGTGTCTCGAGTTCATTGTCAGAAGGAGGGCACATTCGCATGTACGGAAGCCCATTGACAATATCCAGAGGAATGATGAAGCCATCGTTGGTGTGGATGCATTGTCTGCCACCACATAGGAGGGATCGATCATCTACGCGGTTCTTGTAGTGCTCGATCTGACCAGATGCATGGATGGTACGGTTGATACCATGGTAGGCATATTGGCGGAGCACAACTATGATGGGACCTCGGTGTGAGGTGACTTTACCAACGCCGTCAACGATCTTCAGACCATTCATTTTATGGTTGTCAATGCCAGTGACATCAACATGCCGTTGGTGTGTAACCGTGACGCGAGCATCCTTACCAAGGATCCCGCCGTTGGCTCCCCTATCAACAAGGGAACCACGATCGTTCTTGTGTCGAACCACAGTAGTCTGAACTGCGTATCGGTATAGGGAACGATTGTTGTCATCTGCATCGGGACGTACCGCCGAAGGAGGGGCGTGACAGTGCACCCCGGAAGGTATGACAATAGCCGTTTGTGAAGAGGCCTGTGTGTTGATCTGGCACTAGGACCCTTAAGTCTTTAGGTCCTGTCCCAGATCCCAGTCACTATTAAATGCAAGCAAGCCCATTAGTTGCCCACCCTGCTTGGGATCCCAGAAGCAGGGTAGCCAAAACCGTTAGCAGCTGTTAGAGTTGGCACTCCCCAGCTGGGCCTGTGTGCTCCAGTTTGGGACAGTTACCATGCTCATAATTGTTAATAACAAACTTTATTACTAACAATTCTTCACTAGGCTTCCTGCCTGGATCAACAGTTATTAACAATCTAACTGAATCGACACCTCTACACCACCGGTGCAGAGCAACAGCAAAAGCCATAGCTGCCGTCAACAACACCAACCATCATCATGACTTCCTTCACGGCAATCGACAACTTTGCCAAAGCCACACTAACAACCATCCCAGCCGATGAAAAGCCCACCTACAACACCCTCAAGATCATTCATCAAGAATTGAATGCCAATGCCATGGCGGTACCATCCACCCTTGGAGGAGGACACTATGGCCACCTAGCACTTGTCATTCCACCAGCATCCTTCAATGCACTCCCCAATACAGCCCCATTGGTCACACCAGTCCACCCAGGACCTGAACCCATTCATGGAGATGCTCCCACCGCGGCACAAATCACGGAAACCAACAGGACATACGCAGCCAACGAAAACAAGTTCCTCATCTACAGAGCCACCGAAACAGCCCTCCAGAAACAACTTTTGGAAGCCATCCCAGACACATTCATCAAGTCATTGAAACACGAAATGTATGGGTATGCCCAGGTCACAGCATTGGCCATCCTCACGCATCTAGATACGACTTATGGAAAAGTCAATGCCGATGATCTCGAGGACAACATGAGTCCTACTCAACCCATTGAAGACCTCTACAACTAGCTCAAAGATGCGCAAAAATTCGCAGCTGACCATGACACCATATCCGATAAAATGGCAGTCAGAGCCGCCATCAAGAACTTAACCAACAGTGGAGTATTTACTGATGCCATCAAAGATTGGAGGAAGATGAGTGATGACGCCCAAACCATGGACGCCCTCCAAACACACTTCACCGAAGCAGACAAGGAAAGACGTCGCATCCTCACTACCAAAGAAGTAGGCTATGCCAACAAGGCAAGCATGAAGCCCGTCAACGAAACGGCCAACAAAGTCATCATGCACGGCAGTGGCACAGTCATGTACTACTGCTGAACACATGGCTTAGGAACCAACAGCAACCACACCAGCAAAGATTGCACCAAGAAGGCACCAGGTCACAAAATCGAGGCCAACGGTGATGATATGCTTGGAGGTTGCTGCATCATCAGAAGCAAGGCAGGAGAACGAGCTGTATTCCGTCGTCCACAGCAACAGGAACGCGAAAACGAAGAGAACAGCCACCCACCAATCGCACCTGAGAACGTCGGGAGCCAGATCCAACAGTACAACAACGAAAAAACCAATCTAGTAGCACAGTAAAAAACAATAATATAGATTCGGATAAGTTAAAAGATAAAAAGATACCAAAGAATGGTCCCCCGAAAACACAAATAGACACAAAGGAGGCAGCAAACAGCGCCACAGCCCCCTTGATTGCAGACACAGGCAGCACCGGACACTTCCTGTCAACGGACTTTATAGCCATCAGCAACGAAAACATTACAGACATCAAGCCCACAGACAGCCCCATAAGGGTAACTCTTCCTGACAGCACCGTCATCAGCTCTTCCCATACATGTCACCTAGACATACCCAATTTGCCAAAAGAGGCAACCAAGGCACACCGCTTTCCCACACTGGGCAACACATCCCTCTTATCTATCGGCAAATTATGTGACGCTGGATGTGAGGCACTCTTTCGCTCACATGAGTGTATTATCTCATTCATGGGAGACACCATCTTAAGGGGCACTCGCAATCCAGCAACCAACCAGTTATGGGAAATAGACCTCAATGACACGCCACAGCTGGAACAAGCCAATCTTATGGCAACAACACCTACAGCCACACCGGCAGACCTAGTTGCATTCGCACATGCAGCACTCTTTTCCCCGGTACCATCCACACTGCAAAAGGCCCTTGACAAAGGCTACATCAGCAACTTTCCTGGATTGACACGCGACACGTTTGCCAAGTACACTCCACACTCCTTAGCCACAGCCAAAGGGCACATGAACCAGCAAAGACAAGGCATTCAGTCCACGAAAACGGCACCAGAACCATTACCGCTACTCCCGGAACCAACCACCAACGAGTTTCCTGATCATGAAGAACTCCGCGACAGCACCCAACGACAAGCTTGCTTCGCAGCGATACTACAACCAACAGGAAAATCGTTCTCTGACCAAACAGGCCGCTTCTTCATTCCATCCAGCAATGGCAACAACTACCTGTTCATCCTATACCACTATGACAGCAACTCAATCCACACCGAACCAATGCAAACACGAACAGCACAGTCACACGTGAAAGCTTGGACAACAATACATAACAAACTAGTTCGAGCCGGACTCCGACCAAAACTGCACATGTTGGACAATGAGTGCTCTCAGCACCTCAAAGAACACATCTATGCAGAAGGAATACAGCTCCAAACAACACCTGCAGGCATCCACAGACGAAACGCAGCCGAAAGAGCCATCCAAACGTACAAGAACCATTTGATTGCAGGCCTCTGCACAACAGACAGCAACTTCCCACTACACCTATGGGACAGGCTTATCCCACAATGCACAATCACCCTCAACCTACTAAGAGGATCAAGAATCAATCCAGCATTGTCGGCACATGCACAAGTTTTCGGCAGCTACAACTTCACGGCAACACCCATAGCTCCACCAGGAATCCACGTGGTCGTGCACGAGAAACTGAAAGAACGCGGAACATGGTCACCCAAAGGCAAAGATGGATGGTACATAGGACCTGAATTGGAAGCATATCGTTGCTTCAGAACGTGGATATGGGACACACAGCGAGAACGCAAAGCTGATACCCTTTCGTGGTTCCCAGAGAGACTCCAAATGCCACTACCAACACCTATCGAGATGGCAATAGGAGGCATCCGGGACATAGCCACCGCATTGCAACAGCCACACACCTTCCCATCCTCCCAAACACTCACCGACAGCGAAGCCGCTACACTCCTCGATTTGGCACAAATCTTCGACAAGCAACTAACTGGACCAATCGTTCCAAACGCCGTCAGCAGCTCCGTCGAAAAGACCATACAGGACACAACAGAACAACAAGCCAACTCCAATGGCCAAGTTCTGAGGGTGCAAGACGACGGACCAACGTACGCCTCAACCACAGCACGAAAAGGGAAACGAAGCAACAAACCAACCCCAGCACCGAACATCACGGAGCCAACGAGTCGCGCGACTGGATCGCAACAACAACCAGCACCCACGCATCCGCCGGACCATAGAGCAAACAAAGCAATCAACCCAGACACCGGTATCCTTTCTGATTACAAGGTGCTCAAACAATCTACTGATGGCCATCATTGGATCAATGCCTGCTGTAATGAAATGGGCCCAAGGCAGAGCATCCACGGGCCTCAAAGGAACCGACACCATCAAATTCATCGCCCACACGGAAGTACCAACGGGACGAAAATCAACCTATCTTCGTGTTGTATGTGACGATCACCCACAGAAAAAAGAGATCCGACGGGTGAGATTTACAGTAGGGGGTGACAGAATAGAATACCCATTCGATGTCAGCACCAAAACAGCCTCCCTCACCACAGTCAAAATGAATCTCAACAGCGTCATCTCCACACCAGACGCCAAGTTCATGTCCATTGACATAAAAGATTTCTACCTTAACACCCCCATGGAGCGGGCAGAATACATGAGAATCCCAGCAGACATCATCCCAGAAGAAATCATGGACCAGTACAACCTCCATGGCCTTGTGCACAATGGCTTTGTAATGGTGGAAATCAACCGGGGCATGTATGGACTCCCCCAGGCCGGCCGAATCGCCAACGATGCCCTCGTAGAACACCTCCACAAACATGGGTACAACCAATCACGCCACATCCACGGATTCTTCAAGCACAACCACCTCCCAGTCAGCTTTACCCTCGTGGTTGATGACTTTGGAGTCAAATATGTCGGCCGAGACAGCGCCCAACACCTCATAGATACGCTGGCAGCAGCATAAAAAAAACAACCGACTGGGATGGAGAACTGTATTGTGGAATAACACTGGATTGGGACTATGACAACCGAACTGTGGACCTATCGATGCCTGGCTACGTCGAAAGAGCACTACAACGATTCAACCACGTGCAACCAACGCTACCCCAACACGCACCACACAAGTGGAACGTCCCACAGTATGGACAACCCATCCAATACACCGAACCAACCGATGACTCCACCCCACTATCTTCCAAAGCAATTAAACATGTACAGGAGGTAGTAGGCGTATTATTGTATTATGCAAGAGCAGTGGACAGCACGATGCTGGTCGCACTCAGAGATATAGCGGCGGAACAAACGCAAGGGACTGAAAAGACGCTGCAAGCAACAGTCATGCTCTTAAATTATGCAGCAACACATCCCAATGCAATCTTACGATACCGAAAAAGCAACATGATCCTACACCTTCATTCCGACGCCTCCTACCTCTCAGCCCCGAAAGCCCGGTCAAGGGCCGGTGGATACCTCTTCCTCAGCAATGGAGATACCGACAATGCACTGGATAATGGAGCCATCCATGTGGTGGCAAAGATCATGAAAAATGTGCTCAGCTCGGCAGCCGAAGCCGAGGTAGGAGCAGCATTTAACAATGCACAAGAAGCTTGACCAATCCGGCAAACGCTCATTGAAATGGGCCACCTACAACCCGCCACTCCCATCCAGACGGACAACAAGTGTGCAGAAGGCATCCTCGCTGGCACAGTCAAGCAGAAGCGCTCCAAAGCCATCGACATGAGATTCGACTGGCTCAAAGACCGAATCCAGCAAGGACAGTTCACAATTTATTGGCGACCAGGAATCACCAATAGAGCCGACTACTTCACTAAGCACCATGCTGCATCCCATCACAGAGCCGAACGCGACAAGTATCTGCACAACACAACAAGCAATGACAAATCACAGCTCGACAACAAGGCAATGCGCACATAATAGTGTGAGGGTGTGTTGATCTGGCACTAGGACCCTTAAGTCTTTAGGTCCTGTCCCAGATCCCAGTCACTATTAAATGCAAGCAAGCCCATTAGTTGCCCACCCTGCTTGGAATCCCAGAAGCAGGGTAGCCAAAACCGTTAGCAGCTGTTAGAGTTGGCACTCCCCAGCTGGGCCTGTGTGCTCCAGTTTGGGACAGTTACCATGCTCATAATTGTTAATAACAAACTTTATTACTAACAATTCTTCACTAGGCTTCCTGCCTGGATCAACACTGTGGACCACGTTGGCTTAGCGTGTTCTGGCCTGATGAAAATCCTGCTCGTCATCGGAGTCTTGAAGAGCAGCGAAGGAGTCGGATGCATCTCCAGTGCGAGACTGTTGGGATACATCGGAGGGGCGGTAGGAACTGTCAGAGCTCCTGGATTCGGATGAGCTGGATGAGAGCAGATCCTGTCTGTAACCAGGTGGTGACATGAGGTTGCAGATAGATCCAAGAGTACCTGGTGGCATCTTGGATGGTTCCTTCTTCTTGGTCCTGCCCTTCCGTCCTCGAGGTTTGGAAGAGGTGACAGTAACGAATCCAGAAGAGTCTGGAGTGCCATCAGAGACCGGTGTTGTTGTGGGGACCGTGGGGGCGGATGCGGCAGTGGTTGCCGTTATTGCTGCAGGTGCGAGTGCAGTAGGAGTCTGTCTGAGCACTCGGCGTTGTCTGACAGCCTTGCGGATTCCATGGGTGCTCTTGATGTGGCGCATGGAGGGGTCTTCTGGGAAGTCAGCCTCGCTTGGTGTCGCGAAACTGAGGTCGGTGTCAACATCGGCTCCAATATCAGAGGAAGGATCGAGTTGGAGTTGGGAAACATCCAGCGCTAGGGACTCAGGATCACCAGCGGGTGTCTCTGCAATGGGTGCCTCCTCGACGGGTGCTTCTTCCGCTGTAAGATTGGCCAAGAGCTGTTGTTCAAGCTCGGTGGCAGCTCGACGCTGACGAAGCAAGAGTGTATCGTCAGGTTGCTGAATCTGATGGTACGGTGGTGCCATGAGTGTGCCAATCACAGGAGGTGCCGTAGG